ATTTAAACATTATTTAAAGGAATATATTTTTTGTCCATGGTTTAATTTAGTAAATCTGTTTTTGCAGCGCTTCCTCAAAAAATAAAAGGACACAAGTTTAAATTTACATTTGATTACCACCGTTTTTGATAATATATTTGGATTAAATCATAAAAAGTAACATTAATTTTCTGAATAAAATACACTTCATAGGACAATATTGTTCTTAAACATTTTAATAAATAATTAATGTTAAAAATAAGTTGTTAATGTAATTCATTATCAATTATCGAATTTAATTGATTAGACAGGGTTTTATTGAAATTTTAATAAACAAAACAAACAAATGGTTTCAAGTTTGTTATGATTAATTTGTTCAACCAAAAAAAAACCCTGTTAAATTAATTTAACTGTCATTTTAACTGATGATAATAATAATAATAATAACCATAATTTAATAATACAGTTTATTTAATAATTGATTAATACTGTAAACCGTGATATTTTCTGAGACGTTATCATACTGTCAAAATCTCATACCATTACAAGCCTACACAGGAGAGTCCCCCACCCCCGCTGTTAAAAAAGTAACTCAGTAACTTTTACTCTGAGTAAATTTTAAATGAGCTACTTTTTACTTTTACTTGAGTAGATTTTTAGACCGGTAATTTTACTTGTACTTAAGTAAAATTTAATGGAAGTAGTAGTACTTTTACTTGAGTAGAATATTTTATTACTCTTTCCACCTCTGGCAATGTCCATGTCAAATAAATGAATAAATAAATAAATAAAATAATGTACAGGCAACAGGTCAAAACACAGGCAGGCAGTCCAAACAAACAAAACACACAAGGTTGGGAACGAGGCAAACGGGTAATCCAAAGGCAGGCAGAGAGTCCAAAAGCCGAAATACATCATGGAACCAGAGAAATGCTCAGAAATGCAGCACAACAACATACAAGACTTCGCAGGGAATGAATGAGTGTACATGGTTTAAATAGGCTGAGACTGACATGGTAATGAGACACAGGTGGATTAAGTTCTGCTACCCTACAAACTCACGGGTTTCGGGTCGGGTTCGGGTTAATGTTTAATGAATAGCTTTGGGTTCGGGTTTGTAACTTAGAAAAACGATATAGCTAGGCTATACATATACAGGCTATATAGTGTGCGTGCCGTGTGCTTGGCTGCTTGCTGTGTTGTGATTGTAATTATATGAGCATGCGAGAGAGAAAGTAGATGTGCGCAGTTTCAGCCGTCCTCTGATTGCGGTGTTGTGACCGAAATAGTGCGTGCGGGAGCACATGCGCAAAACAGGTTTGTAAAATGATATATGAATCATTTTTATTTTATCATATATAATTTTACAAAACTTTTTTGCGCATGTGCATCAGCTGTCAATGCTGTTCTCTTCCTTCATAACTCGCACTGAGAAGGATAGGCTATATTTATGTTAATAGTTGTGCAACTGCGCAAACTTTGTTTTGAAGTTTAATATTTGAGTTCCAGGAGCCAGTTGCACCAACAGGGCTTTACTAAGCCTGGTCCTAACTGCTAAGTAGGTCTTAGATAAGACCAGTCTTTAGAGTTGACCTAACGTCTGTTGCACCAACCAAACTTAAGCCTAGGCATAACTACGCCTGGTTTTAGGGATGCGCGTTCCTGTGAATGGCCACGGAACTATAGCGGTTGCCTAGCAACGTGCGTTGCTGGGGTTACGTTGTAAACAATCTTCCGCTTTTTGGTTAACTTGTAGCCGTATCAATGGAGGATCAAAGAAAAAGGAAAGGAAATTTCACCGACATAGAGATACGAAAACTAATAGAGTTGTACAGTCAGCACAGACACACACTGACTGCCAAGCAATCAAACGCAATAACTAACTAAGTCGGGTGACAGCTCTTCTACAAGTTCATATATATCTCTCCGACAGAATCGAAACCTCTCAATCAGCTCCTCATCATTGTAAATTTCCAATGGATTGTTTCTGTCCCTAATAACTCTCTCCCGTCTAATAGCCCGCTCATTGTAAAGTCTGTGTATAAGGCGCGCCATGTCTTTACTGCTGAGTTATGAAGTGGTTACTATAGAAACTTGCCTAGATTTTGACTTTACGCCTGCTACTGACTAGGCGTAAGATTTACGCCTGGTCTTAGCAAGAAGAGGACTTAAGCCTGGATGGTGCAACGGTCGTAACTATTAGGTCGGACTTAGAATGTTGAGTTAAGACCTACTTACCTTAAGACCAGGCGTAAGCCCTGTTGGTGCAACTGGCCCCAGGGGAATTTGTGACTGTTTCATCTGTTCAACCACATCAAAGTTTCGTCATTAGTACGTCTAATGCTTTTTCTCTTTTTTTTCTTGTGCACTGACTGATGAGGGGGCCGCTGTGCCTTGGTGAAACGGTGTTTGTACATGTAGCCTATTTTTTTAATTATCGGGGCAAGCAATTATAAAATACAGCATATTGCACAAAAAAAAAAAAAGAAGCTATTTACTGTGAGAAATGGACCTCGGGTTCGGGCCTAAAATATAACCGTAATGTTCGGGTCGGGTTAAATGATTCCGGGTACGGGCCGGGTTTGGGCTTAAGTTTAAAGCCCGTGCAGACCTCTAAGGTGGATGCAATCAGGGATGATGAGTCCAGGAAGTGAGTTATGGGAAATGTAGTTTGTGAGGGAATGACAATAGTCTGAGGTGGAGTGCCCTCTGGTGGCTCTCAAGGGCTGGTCACCGTTACAGTGTCCTTACTGTGGATTTAAGCGCATCCAGACACAGCGAGCGGTTTGCAGTAAGGGAGGAAGAAATATATTTCACAAACTCAATCTTTCTTGATCCCACTCTTTTCGTGAGATCTCGATCAGCTGCAGAAGTGCTTCAGTCAGAATGCTGCATCTGTAACTGCATGAGAGGATAATATGTGAGCCGCATGTTTCCCGCTGACATATTGCAAAACTCTTCTTCGGTTATTAATGCTTTGTTTAACATCACAACTGACATAACAAATTAAATGAAGTCAGATACGCAAATTTTAAGGTTTTGACTTGGGATGCACGATATATCGGCCATCATATCGGTATCGGCCGATATATGTTCAGTTTTAATGTTGTCGTTATCGACCCGATAAGATAATTTGGCTGATATATTAAAGTTGATAAATAATGGATTATTTCCAGTTGAGGCCCTTCAGATGCGCACTGTTCAACATGATGTTTTCGAATAGCTTGAAATATGACTGGAATCACTTTGAAAAGGAAAATACAGTTAAGTGCAACATGTGCAGCGCAAGTCTGTTATATAATATTATAATGAAAACATTATAATTGTGTGTTTAGGACATGGCGTTTAATGGTGAGACTTTTGTTTTTGTAACCAGGCTCTCAAAAATTATATAAAAAATTACATTTATCAGCCAAAATATCGGTTATCGGCTTTCAAATATAAAGAATTATCGGTATCGGCCAACATTTTTATTTCATTGAATCCCTAGTTTTGACATCACTACTGGGAAATTACCTGATTTAATAATAAAGTCTTGTAACTTCCATTGTCAGGTTATTGATTTGCATGTAAACCCAGACAACAGGTTATTTCAATAAGCTGATTTTTGTGAGTTATCAGTGAACTAACGTGCATGTAAACATGATCAAAAACGGTAACTTGAGGAACACATAAAGCTTGTTTGATTGCACTGGTTAAGCAGACAGATGAGCAGATAAACACATAATAAGCCAAGGTTTGAGCCTGAGGAACTTCATTAGATCCGTCCCTTCAGCCGGAGGGAGATCTTACCGATCCTCTTTCATAATTCATGAAGCGCTCTTTAACGACTGGTTAATTATGAATGAGGACAATCTGGGGCCATTTGGAGAGCAAAACGTGCCCGTCAGGCCCCATCTGCCACAAGAGTCCCTTTGATTCGCCACTTATACCGGACACTCGGTCCCACTCCGACGAGTTAAACAATCCAGCGCTGATGAGGGTCTCTCCTCGTTCTCATAAAATGAGCATGAATTATTTAGGCGAGATTGCTTGAAGTGAACGGGTCCGTCAGGAGATGAACTGAGCTTTTGAATTATAAGTGGAGAGGGGCGACCGTTGTGATCATATAATTGTGATGTCTGTGTCGGGTGGTCGGGCCAAACATAATGAAAGTCTTTCTAAGATGGGTCGTGATTGTGCTTTGTGTAACCGGAGAATGTTGTGTGAACTGGCTCTAAAATTTGGTTTTGTCCCACACCTATTAATGTTGGGTGAAATCATTTTTACAAATAAATATTTTAATAAAAATATTGTGATTAGGCATATACCATGTACCATACATATACCATATATAAAAAATAAAAATATGTAGAGATACTTTTATTTAAAGTACATTTTTATAATTTATATATATATTAGTGCTGTCAAAACGATTAATCGCATCTAAAGGGAGTCGCACACCGGACGAGAAGCACAGCGCCACGTCTTTAAAATCCGAACACATTATTTTCTATGAGTGTGTGTACACACACACCAGCGGCGCCCAGCTACGGCTCAGGACGCTGTTCAAAATCCTGCCGCGCCATTTACATAGTTTTATATTAAATTTACATTATATTTGTCTCAAATCGTCGTTAATGTAATGTATATACTGACTTCACCCTGTGCTGCAATATACATTTAGTTTTACATTCACAATTTAAATAAAAAATTTACAAAAAACAATGCATTATTGTCATTTTATTTCCGGCCATGCATTATTGCATTATTTTGATCAAAACAAAAGATCTCAGATAAACTTCTGATGGTGAATTTTGTTAGTAGAGTTGCGACAGATTTCGTTTTTCTTTTGCAGACTGTTAAATGTCTTTCATTTGAATTGCTTATGCGAGGGTCAGTCTATCATTCTTACACTTCAAATGAATCTGTATTATGGATTCGTTTGAGCATTTGTGATTCTGCTAGTGATCTATCAGTGTGTGAATGAGTAGATGATGTGTGGTCATGTCTTCTTTAACTCTAATGCCCACTGTCCTTAGAGAAAGAGGTTCAAGAAGTGAAGGCCACTCTTCAAAGCATGCTGTCCCAGCTGAAGGAGGAGGAGGATGAGGAGGATGAAGATAAGTTCAGTGATGTAGAAGAAGAACAGGTTGAAGATGAAGCCCTAGAAGAGGAGCATTACTTCAGTGACAGCTGGGAAATCTGAACAGACTCATGAATTATATTTATGTTGTGTCCATTGTCTCTGGTTTGTGTATTTTATGTTGATTTTGCCTGTGAAAGTCTGTTTTCCATACTATTATGTTGCACTGAGCTCTAGCACTTAAAGGGAATAGATTATCTAAAAAAATAAAATCATCGGATCATTTACTCGTCATTCCTAAAGCATTTTTGGTGCATTTTTAGTCCCATCCCCTTTTGTTGGAAAGCAAAATCTTGAACATTTCCATTTAAGATCTCATTTTTTTCAGGCAATTTTTTTAGGAATGACATGTGAGTGAGTAAATGGTTAACATTTAAATGTTTTTTCTTCATTAGGACCACTAACCATGTGAATCTTATTTCCACGGTTGCCTTAAAATACTAAATGTACTGTAACTCCTGTCAGTGTTGCCAACCACTATTTTATTTTTATTCTAATCAGTTAGTGCTGAGTTTTTAATGTACTCGATTTGTCAGCCGTTTCCTTGCTTCTGCATCCAAAAAAAGGCCTGATTTTGGAGCTTCCAGTTATTTTAGGATATTTAAAAAGCATGGCATCTTATTTATTTATTTAAATTGCTTTGATATATCATTATTATAAAAAAATAAATAAAAAAAACCTATACATGAAAATCTGTGTGGGACCAAATTTTTTTATATATAGATTTAAAGACCAACAGACACCAAAAGCCAAAATCAGAAAGAGCGAAACGTAAAGTTCCCAGTCAGGACTGAGTTTAAACGGCGCTTCCTCGACTCATTTGTGGCGTACGACTGAACTGAAGAGTGTTTCCAGGTTCATGACAGAAGTATGTGGTGCTTTAACTTGTTGAGCTGTTGTTGAAGTGTGAAGCTTCACTTCAGGCTTGTTCAACGACTGTATTTCAGCCCTGCTGATATTCTGTGTGAATTATGAGGGTCATGTAGCATCAAGTGCCTTTTTTAGACTATTTTATATTGTCTCGTTATTTAAAACAGAAACGGGTGCTTTTTAAGTTTTTTAACAAAGCACTTTTCAGATGTAAGCTGTTTTTGTCAATGTTGTGAATTTCATTTGTAATTTGTTTGTACTAATCACATGAATTTATGTTTGCATGTCTATCATCACTTTTTATTTTTTTGTTTTAAATACATTATATACCCTCTGCCAAAATGCTTTTGTATTTTTTTATTATTATTTGCAAAATAGAAACCCAGACCGCACAATTTGAAAACAAGTCATCTTAAACAAATTCATCTTGAAAAGACATTTACCGCTTATTTTTCTGATTAAAAAGGCCATGAGACTGCCCTGCTCTCAGTAATTGAAGCTCTGAGACTGGCAAGAGCAGCTTCCAAATCCTCAGTCCTCATCCTGCTGGATCTGTCTGCTGCTTTTGACACAGTTAACCACCAGATCCTCCTGTCAATCCTAAAGATGAAGGGCATCTCGGGAACTGCACTCCAATGGTTCGAGTCTTACCTCTCAGGTAGGTCCTTTAGGGTGTCGTGGAGAGGTGTGGCGTCTAAGACCCAACATCTAGCTACTGGGGTGCCTCAGGGCTCAGTGCTTGGACCACTCCTCTTCTCCATCTACATGACATCACTAGGATCTGTGATTCAGAAACATGGCTTTTCCTATCATTGCTACGCTGATGACACGCAACTCTACCTCTCATTCCAGCCTGACGATCCGACGGTAGCTGCTCGTATCTCAGCCTGCCTGACAGACATCTCTGGCTGGATGAAGGACCACCACCTTCAACTAAACCTTGCGAAGACAGAGCTACTTGTGGTCCCGGCCAACCCAACACTTCATCACAACTTCTCCATTCAGCTAGGCTCGTCATCCATAACTCCATCAAGGTCAGCTAAGAACCTTGGGGTTGTAATTGATGATCAGTTGAAATTCACAGACCACATTGCTAGAACTGCCCGGTCCTGCAGATTTGCCTTGCACAACATTAGGAGGATCAGGCCCTTCCTTACAGAGCATGCCACACAACTCCTTGTCCAAGCACTTGTTTTATCCAGACTGGACTATTGTAATGCTCTCCTGGCTGGTCTTCCAGCTTGCTCTGTCAAACCTCTACAATTGATCCAGAATGCTGCAGCCAGAGTAGTCTTCAATGAGCCGAAGAGAGCACACGTCACTCCTCTCCTCACACAATTGCACTGGTTGCCAGTTGCCGCTCGCATTAAATTCAAGGCACTGACGTTTGCCTACAGAACAACCACTGGCACTGCTCCCTCTTACCTAAACTCATTACTTCAGACTTATGTGCCATCCAGAAACCTGCGCTCTGCTAGCGAATGTCGTCTTGTGGTACCATCTCAAAGAGGCACAAAATCTCTTTCTCGGACCTTTACCATGGCTGTTCCCTGTTGGTGGAATGATCTGCCTAACTCAACCAGAGCTTCTGAGTCAGTAGCCACTTTCAAGAAACTGCTGAAGACATATCTTTTTCGGCAGCACTTGATTCAGTAGAATTAACACTTTCTCTTCTCTTCTATTCTATAAAAAAAAAAAAAAAAAAAAAAAAAAAAAAAAACCTGCACTAAAATTAAACTGAGAGGGGTTATAGCACTTAGGTATTGTTGTCCTACTGTTAGTTTAACTGCTTCTATTGTTCTCATTTGTAAGTCGCTTTGGATAAAAGCGTCTGCTAAATGAATAAATGTAAATGCATAAGGAGGTGTTTAGAGAGACTGAGGCCCTGTCCCAAATGGCACACTCCGGACTTGTGGACTTCCTCAGAGTCCACACTTCGGTGACGTCATGTAGTGCAGACCTATAGGGCATCACAGTCCCGCCCACAGCCGGTGCCGGAAGTAAGAATTCAATACAATTTCTCCATTGACAGTTGGGGTATAAGCCATAAAAACATAACCATACATGGAAGACTTAAAACCAGATACGGCTGTACCAGTGGTGTAGCAAGTCAGTCCCGGGCCCATATGCAAAAAAAAATTGTACGGGCCCCCCTAACCCTGCCCCCGAAGTACATTAGATTCATTTATCAGACTGATCTGGAAATGGCGTATGTATGACACACCAATTCGTATTTCCATCAACACGCATAATCGCTTTTCAGCGTGTTTATCAACGCCGTTGACTAACGTTATATTACTGTATATATATAAATATATGACCTACCCCAACCCCCTCCCTAAACCTACCCGTCACTGGGGTTAATACCATTTATGAGTCTTCCCCTACCATCCTAGGAAAAAAATATTGCTCCACAGATGTAGATATGAATTTTGCTTCGGTTCGCTCGGACATTTAACGGCGTACACATACACGCGGAATCACTCGGACGTTTAACGGCGTACACATACACGCGGAATCACTCGGACGTTTAACGGCGTACACATACACGCGGAATCACTCGGACGTTTAACGGCGTACACATACACGCGGAATCACTCGGACGTTTAACGGCGTACACATACACGCGGAATCACTCGGACGTTTAACGGCGTACACATACACGCGGAATCACTCGGACGTTTAACGGCGTACACATACACGCGGAATCACTCGGACGTTTAACGGCGTACACATACACGCGGAATCACTCGGACGTTTAACGGCGTACACATACACGCGGAATCACTCGGACGTTTAACGGCGTACACATACACGCGGAATCACTCGGACGTTTAACGGCGTACACATACACGCGGAATCACTCGGACGTTTAACGGCGTAGACATACACGCGGAATCACTCGGACGTTTAACGGCGTACACATACACGCGGAATGACTCGGACGTTTAACGGCGTACACATACACGCGGAATCACTCGGACGTTTAACGGCGTAGACATACACGCAAAAGATGACGGTTCGTTTCGGCGTGGACATACACGCGGATAGCTCAAAATGCGTATAGATAACACGCCACTTGACTTGAAAGTGGCGTGTATGTTTACGCAAAGTCATGATGTCATGTTGCATAGACGTTCACTGTAGTGTATCAAGAAAATACCATACCAAACAATACCATAAAAAACACTCTACCCAACAACTTTTCACAACCAGAACGGAACAAAAACCAGTCTAAAACCAACCAAGGCTCAGCCAATGTCAATAATAAACTACTGATCTTGGCACCGCGGCCCAAAATGTAAAAAACATAAAACTACTTACTCATTTAGTTGCATTCTCCGGGCCTTTCTTTCGACAAATTCATCCACGAGCACGATGTCATTGGTGTTTAATTCATGGCTTTGTGCATTCTCGATGGAAATAATTGCCAGTCCCTAAGTCTGTTTATTAGCTTCAGTTTTGAAAATGAGGGCTCCGCTGAAGCAACAGTAGGGATGGTAAGAAAGAGAACTAAACCGGTCTATTTTAGGTAGTTTTCGTGTCGCAACTAACTTCTCCACCTTCTTTTTTCTCTTTTAGGCCCCACTTTTATGTTTGTAATTTTCCATCCTTTAATGTTCAATTAGCTAGCGTCTAGTAACCTCTCTCACACTGTGTTTTCTTTTTTTAATTTGACGCGGCGATGCCGTACAAAATGACGGTACGGTTCTACGGCAGCCGCGGTGTGCAAAAAATAATAAACGCATAATAAATGCACACAAGAAATGACGAAGAAATTAGACATTATGGAGAAACAAGAAATTATTACAAATGACATGCATACAAAAAATATATTTATTGTGGCTACACTTTAAAAATGAATTAACTCGTTTTAATTAAAAGTTCCCCATGGGCGGGCCCCCTATCAGCCCGGGCCCATTTGCACGTGCATACCCTGCATGCCCAGACGCTACGCCATTGGGCTGTACTAAGTGATTGTATATGCTCATATAAACGCCAAAAGTTAAATGCCTTTTATTCGCGATGTCTTGGATAAGTACTTCATTACCCACAATCCTGAACAATCCCACAATCCCACAGTGATGCATCTGATTGGTGGAAGTCGTGTAACTGTCTGGTTACCCCGCGAAGGTCCGTGAAGACTGAAGATCGTGTAATGACGTAGGGCTAGTTCATTGGTCGCACGTCAGAGGCGCCCGCGCCATTGGATGTGCAGGTGCCGCAGCACAGCCTATGAGCGAGCCAGATGCTCAATCAATGTGTTAGCTGTGCAGCTGCAAATGCGTTTTACATATAAGCTTCAGTAAATTGAGGAAAAGGAGTTTCCCTGCACATTTACTATATAATTCACTGAAGAAAAAAGTTCACGTGGCCGTCGTCAGATTTGAAAAGGCTCTTTCGCGGTTGTGGCTTCAGTCGACTTCAGTGAGGCGCGGTGGTTTATGGGATGAGTAGTTCCTTCGCTCGGAAATGAAAGCTTCAGCATAAAGTTCTGCCAGGAAGACTTAATTATTACGTCACTTATTACCTTCACATCTATCCAATCACGTCCTTATACTCGCTGTATAAAAGATTGGTACTTACACACGTTTGAGTTCGCAGATGCTGTCGCGACAACTACCTCCATCCTCCCCACCACCACCAGGATGGTCCCGTCCATAACTCCCAGGGGGGTCTGCTGCGCCCCTGCCTTCATCTTCAGGCAGGAAATGCAGATCCGCTACCCTCGGATCATGAACTACGGACGGGGCCTACGCCAAAGAACTTTATAAATAATTGCTTGGTGGGCTGTCAATAAATGTATGCTTCGTTATATCATTGAAGACTAA